GCATATTATGTAACATAAACTGATGAACAAAAACAGATCCAGAGACAGAGAAGCATCCATCAGACCATCCAACCTCAGAGGGAAGGTCGGGGGAAGAGGGGGTCAGGGACTTGTGTGCAGGCAGAGGAGCCTCACCACTGGACACAGACACAGGGGGAGGGCATGCGTGGGGGAGGGCTTGGGAAGGTAAGGGGGGATGAGGACACGTATGTAACACCTTACCCATAAAGAAATTAAACAAAAAAGAATTTCAGATATAAAGGTAGAAATTTAAAAAACAAATACTGCCTAGACAAGGTTTCTGTGAGCAGCTTGTTCTAGTAAAATCCAAGGAAAAGAAAGAAAGAAAGAAAGAAAGAAAGAAAGAAAGAAAGAAAGAAAGGAAGGAAGGAAGGAAGGAAGGAAGGAAGGAAGGAAGGAAGGAAGGAAGAATGGAGAAAGAAAGAAATATAGCACAGCAGGGCTCTTCTTACAGCAGCTTCACACCCTCCCACTCGCCACCCACTCGGGAGGGACGTGCCCGGCCTCAGCAGCATGGGGCTGGTGCACAGGCAGCAACGGGCACTGTGCGTGCCCCACTCACACCACAGGCAGCTGCAGGCCGGGGTGGGGAGGGTGGGGGTGGGGTGGTGAAGGGAGCTGGGTGGGCCTAGCACCACTGCTAGTCAGTCCCTGAGCTGTCCAGCTAAGGTTAGGGAAACAGCAGGAGCAGGTCAGGACAGCAACATGGCCAACTGCAGAGTGGCCATGGCCCCACCCAGTGGTCACACAGAGAACAGCAGCAGGCCCAGGCTCTCCCCGCCCCCCACCCCACCCCCGAGGTTTCCTAGGTGCCCCAGGTTACAGCCATTATCATCACCACCATCATTGTCACCACCATCACCATCATCACCATCATCACCATCACCACCACCATCACCACCATCACCACCACCATCACCACCATCACCATCCGCCCCCCCCCAACCCCATTTCACCCCACTCTCGCAGCAGCACATGAGGGGGGCGGGATCTCCATCTCCGTTTTAAGCTGAGGGAACAGGCTCAGCGTGGTTAGGCGACCCACACGCGGTGACTCAGCTGGTAAGTGGCAAAGCGGGACCAGGGCTCCCTTGGGGGCAGCAGGACCAAACCCCGGGCCAGGAGAGCTCCCGTGAGCCCCTCCTGGAGCTCAAGGAAGCAGCACCCTGTGCTGGTGTGAAAACAGCCCTCACGCCCGTGGCCAGGCCTCCCTTCAAGAGTGGATTCCTCCCTGGAGTGTGGGCTGGACACAGTGACTCACTTCCAACCCACAGAACACGGCAGGTGTACCGTGACTTCCTGCATTCACTCATTCATATTCTTCCTCTCTCTCTCTCTCTGGCAGCTGCCATGAGCTGCCCTCGACAGGCCCGTGGGGAAGGGACAGCGGCTGCCCCGAGACAGCCATCCTGCAAGAGGATCCTCGAGCCCATCTGGCCTTCAGGCGACGGCAGCCCTGGCCGAGACGTTACTGGACCTGAGAGAGCCCGAGCCAGATCTGCTAGGTAAGCCGCAGACACGGTAACACAGGTTTGCTGTTTTAAGGAGCTAACCTCCTGCCCCTCCCCCAGACCGTGCCGCTGACAGGGAGCCCGGTCAGGGGCCAGCTGGAGGTTAGAGCCTCCTCCCGGGGCGGGGGCCGCGCACACCGACGGCTGCTTACTCACCTTTCCTGGTCCTGCAGCTGGAGCAGCAGGTACACACTGTGGGGATGGGGCGCCATCAGTGACACCCCCTTCAGCAGGAACCGCCCCAGGCAAACGGGGGGCCCCAGGGAAGTGTGGGGAGGCCAGTGTGTTCAATTCAGGGGTCCCCGGAATGTGGGTCTCTGAAGAGACGCCAAGGCAGGGCAGGGGATCACTGCAGACCCAGCCTCCTGTCGGGGAGGAACCCAGCAGCCGGAAAGTGCCCCTGCCCGGCCCACAGAGGTCTGTCCTGTATCCGGCAGCCGAGGGAAGGCAGGGGCCCCAGGTGTCACAGTTCCCTCTGGGAGGTAACTCCACGCAGCCTGCCCAGAACCCCCTCCTCTCTGCACCTCCCAGGGCGGAGTGGCCTCTATGAAACCTCAGCCCGACCTCTGACCCCCGCAAAGTGCTGGCCATTTGGTTGAAGGCCTAATTTGCTGCTGTGCACACCCCATTGGTTCTGGTGTACACCCAGGCCCGATATACAGCAGGTGCTCACTAAACACTTGCTGAGTGTCTCCACGTTCAGGGAAAGCAAGGATCATCCTTTCAGCTCCCTCTGTACCTGTCACAGGCTCCAGGGTCCTTCAACAGATGGTGTCTGACGAAACACCCCCCAGTTCATTCTCTAAGGAGGGCAATGTGTTCTTGCCAACTCCATACTGTTCTTTTGCACTTTGGGCACATGTTTTTATTTTACCCTAGAGGCCCCGTGCACGAAATTTGTGAACTGGGGGGTCCCTCAGCCTGGCCTGTGCCCTCTCGCAGTCGGGGAGCCCTCAGGCGATGTCCGACTGCCGGCTTAGGCCCACTCCCTCTCCCCCTCTTACCTCCCCAGAGCGCGGGCCTAAGCCGGCAGTCGGACATCCTTAGCGCTGCCACGGAGGCGGGAGAGGCTCCCACTAACACCGCTGTGCTCGCCAGCCGGGAACTCCGCAGTGCCGCCCGGCCAGAACCGCAGCCCAGACTCCGGCCTTTCTCCTACGGACCACGCCCGTGTCCAAGGCCCATGGGGCGCTGGGAAGGCACGCCAGCCTGTGGGGCTGGGCCTTCTTTGCCAGACTTCCTCCTAGGCGCCCACCCCTCAACTCAGGGGTTACGATGGACCCAGGGGGGGGTGCCTCTGCCCCATGCTCAGGCCCTGGGCCATCTTTCACCTGTCTTTCTTTCTGAGATAACTTTTATCTTAGCTCCCAGAACAGCTGGGAAGAAGGCCACAGGGCCTTTGTCCTCCCTGCTGGCCCAGCACCTCCACGCTCTGCCCCCGAGGCCCAGGGCAGGCCGTGCGGAGAGCGGGGCCGTGCTGCAGCAGGGCGTCTGAGTCTCCAGCCCGGGCACTCCCCACTCTGTCCTGGGGCGCGTGGGAGGGTGGCCAACACGCACACCAACATCACTCAGCTTCGCTTTGGGCCTTTCCAACATCGGGGTGTCATTGCCCCACAGGCAGCCCATTTCTCTCCTGGACACCCTCATACTGTAAAGTGCTTTCGTAGGTGGATGAAAGAACAAGGACAGTAACAGCAGCGACTGCATAGAGTGCCAGGCTGGTCCGAAGCACTTTTACGTGGTTATTTCACGAGGATCCTCGGAACCCCACGGATGGGAGCTGCCGTTCCTCGTGCACAGGTGAGGAATCTCAGGTGCAGGGACAGTAAAGCCTTGTCCAGGCCACAAAGCCAACAGGTGAGTCCCCCTTGGAACTCTCCGCACCGCTGCCTGCTCTGCCCGCGGAGCCTCACAGCATTGGGGCCCTTTTTGCTCCCGAACGACAGCTTGCCTCCGAGGCTCAGTAGCCAATGAGCTGCTCAGGGGTGGGGGCGATACCCGATTCCACTCCCGCCCCGTCCCTGAGAGGGTGCCCAGTGGGTCAGAAGCTGCAGGCGGTGAGGAAAAACCTGGATGGTCAGTGAGCAAACAGAGGGCACTGGCCCAGGAGCCAGGAGGCCCCAGGAGAAGGCCCCCCCGCGGGTGACCTGGTGGCAATTCCCTGCCCTGGCCTTGGTCCTTCTATTGGTAAAATCAGAGGTTTGACAAAACGGTCCCTGAGTCCCTCCCTACCTGGCCTTTGGGACTGCATCCTAGCTTTTCCTGGGGGCTCCTCTAGGGGCCGCCCTGCCATGGCCACGCCTCGCCTCCCGCCCTGCCGGGGTTAAACAAACACCCTCTCCAGCAGGGGAGCCACAGTCTTCCACCCGGGCCGGTGTAGGTTATTCTAGAGGCGAGGAGCCCGAGGTCAGGCTGGCTCCCGCTGGCTGACCTCCCCGGGAGGGCCCTGGCTGGCATCGCTGGGAGGCCACAGGCTCCTTCCAGCCACGGCTGAGGCCTCCCAAAGGCCAAGGTGCCACCTGCAGGCTGCACCTCGCCGTCCAGGCCCAGGCGGCCTGGGTGTCTCTGTTGCTACATGTAAGAGCACCGCAGCCACCAGGCACTCAGCTCAGCCACAGATTCCACAAAAGTGGCCCAATTCCCACAGAAGCTCCATTTCCTAACCAGGCCTGTCTCCTCCCCCCTCACCGGCACCCTCTGCTGGCAGTGGCTGTGCTCAGCTCCTGGGGGCCAAGGTCCCTGCGTCCCCCCAGGGAACAGCCCGGGAGATGGTGAGTCCTGGCCCAGCTCCCTACCCTGGCCCATGCCCCCGCCCTCCACAAGCCTGACACCAGCGATGGGCCAGACGTGCGGCACGCTGCACCGCCTCTGGGTCTTACCCCGACCTCCCGAATCTCTGCAGATGGGCCCAGCTGCCAGGCCCCGGGTCAGTCCTAATACAGGCAACCTCGTGCCCGGAGTCTGACAACCAGAGGCAGAGGCACGATTTCCGAAAAGCCTGAGCCTCCACAGGACGTAGACCTCAGAGGGGAGGGGACAGGACGGAATCATGCAGGCAAAAGGAAGCACGGAGCCCTAAGTCCTGGTAGGTGGGAGGGGCCCTCAGGCGCTGGAGACAGATAAGCCCTCCTGAGAGGGAGGGCAGTGAGGAAGAGAGCAGAGAGGACTGCCTGGGCCCAGGCCAGCTGTGCCTGCTGCCTTTAGGTTTGGCCCAGGCGCTGAGGCCCAACCACCCCTGTCCCTAGACAATCACATTTAATCACATGTGGTGCAAGTGATCAGACAGAATCCACAGGCAGCTTCCTGTCCTGAGCAGGAGTGCTCTGCCCGCGGCCGGCCTGGCATGGTCTGATGAACTCTGTGTTGGTGCCAAGTCCCTGGGCCAGGGCGCGGTGACAGGCACACAGGGGAGGGGCCTGCGGTGTGAGTGAGGCCGGGGAGGTGCACGGGGGAAGGGGAGACACTTACCTGAGCTGCCAGCGCTCTCAGAAGCACTCCTGGACATCTTGGGCTGGCGGTGCTTGCCGGCCTGCCCAGACCCCGCGGGAGGGGGGCCTGAGGGAGCAGGGGCACCGTCTCCCCTGATGGTGGTGAGGTCCTGCATACTGAAGCTCCGGAGTCTCTCCGATAAGGCACCCTGTCCCTGGGCACAACACAGGAGGGCACACGTCAGAGGCCGGACCCCGGACCGGGGCCGGAGCTAAGACAAAGCCAGCAGGAAGCTCTGCCGGTCAGCGAGGCGGGAACAGAGACCCGGAGGGACTCGCTGGAAACACTGAAAGTCAAAGTCGGAACTATTCCAGGGTCACTGCGAGGCTCAGCGATTGCTCCTCTGGCTCCCTCTCCGGCTCCTTCCTCCCCCTCGGCCGCTCTAGGAGCCTCAGACAGACCCAGGCCTGACCGCTGCTTCTCTGGTTTACAGACCGAGACCTCTTCAGCCCTCAGTACCCGAGTGTTTGGTCAGAAAAGCAAAGCCTAGTAATATGCGTGTACCATCCATTTCCTTTTCACAGGAAAGGAAATACAGACAGGACTTCTAACTGTGCGACAGCGGCATTGCTTTTATCTGCTCCCGGCACTGTTTGTGAGCACATTTACTCCCAGGTGGCATCCAGCTTCATGAAATGCCCGAAGGGGATGAGTCAGGAAGGAAAACAGGACGTGGGGAACCCCTGCTGGCTGGGAGGGAGCCACGGAGCTCAGCTCAGGGGGAAACGGCTCTTTCGTTTGGGAAGCAAGACCAACCCACTGCAGTTCCGAGGGAAAACCTGGCTGCCTGCATGAGAGAATGGGTGTGGGGCAGGGACAGGGACAGGGACAGGGCGGTGCTTTAGTGCCTCGGGCTGCAGAGGGACCGTGTTTGGGGGAGAAGGAGAGCTGGGGGTGGGAGGTGGGGACGGGGAACGGGGAGGCTGGTAGGAGACTGGGGTTGTTGGAAATTGGGTTGAGATTTGAATGAAAGGTGACAGGCAAGTGACTACCAGGCAAAGGAATGAACTCTGGGCTTCAGAAATACTGGGGGGTGTCAGCCTTCCCACAGGTACAGGGGATGGAGGGGATGGAAGGGGACATGCATTTGCATAAGGAGGAAAGTGGCTTTGGAGGGCTGAAGGGCTGGGGACAATAAAGCACCACAAACAACAAAAAGCACATCAGCACAAAGTCAGTGAGAGGCGTCGGGGTGTGTGTGTGTGTGTGTGTGTGTGTGTGTGTGCGCGCGCTGATGAAACAAACAAGCTCCGTCGGAGGCCTTCAGAGGCTGCAGAGGGTTTGAGGAATTCTCTCATTTTGCTTAATAAGAAAACAGTGATGAAAACGGGCCAGCGCACAGCAGGTCACCGCCCGACCTCAGAGAGAGCCGCTGACAGAGGAGCACGCCCCCTGAGCTCCTGAGAGGGGAGGGCACAGGGCTGTGGACCGGCTTAGGAGAAATGTCGGAGTAAAAGAGGTGCATTAACATGAAAAGGTAAGTCCTCCTCCTCCCAAAGATATGAAGACAACGCCTCCAAGAAACGAACAACGGAAAGAAGCCTGTTTAAATAATAAAATGTATATGATCAGAACGATAAGTACAGGCGAAGGGGTTTGGAGGACGTTATGGGGGGAAAGGCAGCAGTTACAACCGTCGCCTCAGGCCTGCTCCGAAACCAGGGACACGGGGTCTGAGGCCTCACCGCCCAGACACGAACACAGTGCCCTCCAAATCTATCAGCAGTGAGCCATGATTATTTCACTCAGAACATTCTAGAACCTGGATATCTAGGATTTAGAAGAGATTAGATGGCTAAAGAACAAAAACTGATTCTGAAAAGAGAGAAACTACAGAAAATATAGAAAACACTCTGATCTTTACAAAGGAGCAATTCAATGTTAGCTTAACATCCAGGAAAACCGCCTCTGACTCTCTTCCATTTACCCTCCCATTTATCCATTTACCCGGTCCGTAATCTCCTACCGAGGGCAAGGCACTGTGCAGGTGTCGTTAGGAAACACCCAAAACACAGCTTGATTTCTGAGGAAGTGGGGAAAGACCGATGTCCAAGTAAGACAAAGGTGCCAGGCCAGAAGCTATGGAGAGCGGAGAGCGAGGCTGAAGAACAGCTCTAGAGTCACCCCTGGATTCAAACGCAGCCTTATCCCAACAGCTGGGGGACCCGAAACTCTCTCCGCTCACTACCGCCATCTGCAGGAGAGCGTTCTCGCGGCAGGATGGCAGTGAGGGCTAAACGAGATTATGTCCATATAAGAACCCACCACAAAGCCCAATGCATACTAACTGTTCGAGCCCTAGCCCACTTGGCACGGTGGATAGAGCGTCGGCTCTGGGACTGAAGAGTTCTGGGTTCAATTCCAGTCAAGGGTACACACCTCAGCTGCAGGCTCGTTCCCCAGCCCCCGTTGCGAGCACAGTGAATTCAGGAGGCAACCAAACGATGTGTCTCTCACATCAACGTTTCGGTCTCTCCCCTTCCCTTCCACTCTCTCTAAAAATCAATAGGAAAAATATCCTCACATGAGGATTAACAACAAGAACAACAACTGGCCGAAACCAGTTTGGCTCAGTGGATAGAGCGTCGGCCTGTGGACTGGAAGGTCCCAGGTTCGATTCTGCTCAGGGGCATGTACCTTGGTTGTGGGCACAGCCCCAGTAGGGACTGTGCAGGAGGCAGCTGATCGATGTTTCTCTCTCGTCAATGTTTCTAGCTTTCTATCCCTCTCTCTTCCTCTCTGTAAAAACTCAATAAAAAAAAATATATATATTTTTTAAAAAAGAACAACTGTTACCTCCTGTGATGGTAACTGCTGTGCCTAAGACACACCAAGTTGCTGTGAGAAGGAAGGAAGGAAGGAAGGAAGGAAGGAAGGAAGGAAGGAAGGAAGGAAGGAAGGAAGGGAGGGAGGAAAAAAGGAATGAAGGAAGGAAGGAAGGAAGGAAGGAAGGAAGGAAGGAAGGAGGAAGGAAAGTAGGTCATCATCACTTCTGGCCAAAGGACCAGAAGGGACTTCATGACCCCAAGCCCAAATAAGTGACCAGGAACTAACCATCAATGCGTCTGCCAGCTCTCCCAACGCCGTCCGAGAGACAGCGGCAGCAGGCATCACACACGTCCATTTCACAAGGCCTCCATCCACTCCCAGAAGCCAGCCAGCCTGGCTCCAATATCACCGGCATCATGAAGACTGAAGTGGCGGAGGTTACGAAAGAGGAGGAGCTAATAATAGCTCGGTGCCAACCTAGTCCTGACTCTGAGGAAATCCCAGCGGCAGGGCCACAAGGCTCTTGAAAACAAATTAGCTGTACCCGTCAAAAGAAGCCGCGATGGTCAGCATTAATCTCTAAGCCTTCCGGCCCTGCCCCGCCTCTACTCAGGGCCCCATTTCTGTTCACTCTCCACAAACCCAGCCCTCCAGAGGGGCCACTTCAGCTCCCCTCCAGGGAACCTTCACTTCCTTATTCTGGGAACAAGCAAGAGTTGTTCACTGGCATTATGCAAAGTTGAAAAATAAATATGGATTCCCCAAGTTTGGCAAAGCTGAATAGTCCCCATAATTCAATGAGCCGCGTTACCATATTAAAAGCTTTCATAGTCCTCCAGTATTCTGGGTTAACTCCGTAATCCCAAATGTTATCTGACGGCAGTGGGATATGCTGTTACTAGTAGCTGTTCTCTTCCTGATACGCAGGGGGAAGGCCTGACCGTCTCCCTGCTCCCTGCTCCCGCCTGCGAGCGGCAGAACTGCCACCTCGTGACCAGGAGCCGCGCAGAGACGTCCAGCCAGAGCCCTGACATCACTAAATCGCTGGAATAATGACGGCACCCACTCCCTCCCAGACTTCTTGGAAATGATGGTTTTTGTTGTTGTCTTTTACAGATTTTAAAACTGATTTCCTTGATTCTAAGACATGGTCTTCCTCTGAAACTGGGGTGGGCCTTACAGTTGCTGTTGCCGTGGCATTGCTGCCCTTGCCCGCACACAAATGCCCTTGGCTGTTATTCCCCACGGCCGGACAGACCGACAGGCCTGCGTGTTCAATTAACAAACCAAGTCAGAACCTCCTGGAGAAGGAAAACGAATCCAGGCCGCTAAGCTCTGAAGCACTTCACTGACACCTTCTGGTAGGATCCAGAAATGGCAGCTTCCCAGCTGGCAGAGGGGAATGGGCAGCAGCCCTGACTCCGAGGCCAGACCTGGCCCTGCATCGCCCTCATGCAGGGAGGCCAGCGAGCCCGGCGGCAAGGCCATAAATGGTACCGGCCAGCGCGCTGACAAGTGATGCGGACGAGTCAGACTCTGAAAGCGAAGACGTGAGGTTAGGGCGGCCTCAGCCACTACATTGTGTTTACGTGTTCCCTTCAATGTGTGTACGAAAGTGACTCAGAAAAATCGATGTCTAAACAAGGCCAAGAGTCTTTTTAATAAGGAGAAGGAAACATTCTGAGTGAAAAAGCATTATGTCCTGATTTAACTGGCACTGTTTTCCCCCTTAGTGGTACAGTAAGATGATTATCTTTAGACTCAATGCACTTTAGATTCAGTGCAAAGTGGCTGCTTTTCTCAGAGGAGCGTTCCCTGGCCGGCCAGCTCCCCGCCATGCCCTCAGCTCAGTCGGTACGTATTTGCTGTACACCACACAGTTGTATTGAACTGTTGGCATTGTTCGTTGTTTTGCCTTCCCTTCCAGATTGTTTACTCATTCTTGCAGCCTTGGCACCTCCCCCCCCCCCCCCACTCCACCCGATACACATTAGGGATCGAGGGCTTGATTGAATGAACACATGGCCGTTTATCGCGAAGCCCCTGGGTAAAACAGGGCGGCAGGAAACCCCACCCCACCCCCATGCATTGCCAGGGCCCCAGCCCCGAGGAGCACCCTTCTGACAGAGAATTGGGCTTTGCCCACAGGAATGTCTGAGAGGTGCCAGAGGTCTACAGGGTGCTCACATCCGAGAGACAAGGTGTCCAGAGCAGACTGCACTTGACCTGGCCTTGGAGGACGGGGGGTGGGGATGCAGGTGAAGATGGGAACCAGGTGGGAGCTGTCACCACTCAGTTTTGTCTGCTAAGGAGATGGGGATCCAAGTTACACTGTGCTAATGGCCACATGGAGGCACCAGTGAAAGTGCCTGCTGAAAGGTTACAGGGTTTCCCTTAAAACAGCCATGCCAGCCCTGGCTTGTGTGCTCAGTAGTTAGAGAATCAGCCCACAAACCAAATGGTCATGGGATCAATTCCTGGTCAAGGACACACACCTGGATTGCAGGTTTGATTCCCCCACCCCTGTCAGGGCAGACGCGGGAGGCAATCAATCAATGTGTCCCTAACATTGATGTCTGTGTCTGTCTGTCTGTCTGTCTGTCTCCCCCCCCCCCCCCCCCCCTCTCTCACTCCTTACTCCCTTTCCCTTCCATTCTCTCAGTAAATAAATAAATGGCGGGAGGGGGGGGGAGGGGATCCTCATGTGAAAATTAACAAAAACTAAACTAAAGCAGCCATGTCAGTGGAGGGCAGGAAGGGGAATGAGCTTACTCTCACTGCATGCCCTCTTCTGTGCTTTCAGAATTCTGTACCACGATCATGCAATCACCATTAAGGAGTCAGTATGATTTCACTTTTAACAACTCTCAAGATCACCTGGAGGACCCCATTTGGTGAACACAGAGCTTGCAGGATGCTGAGAAATGCCATAAAAATAAATAAAGAACAAACTATTGTACTTTAAAAAACAAAACAAAAACACAACTGAGAGGGAAGTGGCACCTTCAGAAACTGCGATGCACTGGCCTGCAGCCTGAGCGCCTCACCTCAGCAGAGCCCACGGGGTCTTCCCAGCCTTGAAATTTCACTGGGAAATTAAAGGAACAAGATTCCCTCCCAACTGGAGAATTCTGAGATCAAGAATGTATAACCCACTGAAACCGGTTTGGCTCAGTGGATAGAGCATCGGCCTACGCAGAGACTGAAAGGTCCCAGGTTCGATTCCAGTCAAGGGCATGTACCATGGTTGCAGGCACATCCCCAGTAGAGGGTGTGCAAGAGGCAGCTGATAGATGATTCTCTCTCATCAATGTTTCTAATTCTCTATCCCTCTCTCTTTTCTCTGTAAAAAATCAATAAAGTATATATTAAAAAAAGAAGAATGTATACCCCTTCCTATGGCTCACCACCTGAATCTGACTGCAATTCTAAAAGGAGAGTTTCTAAAATGCTTTGAGCCCTGCCCGGTGTGGCTCAGTTGGCTGGGTACAGTCCCATGCACGTGCAGCGAGAGGTCACCGGTTAGATTCCCAGTCTGGACTCCATCCCCAGTACGGGGTGTGCAGGAGGCAGCCAGGTGACGTTTCCCTCTCACATCAATATTTAAAAAAAAATAAAAATAAAATTCTTTGCCCCCCCCCCCAAGGTAACTCTGAGGAAGGGTGAAAAAGTTCCTGTATATGTGTGTGTGTGTTAATATTTTTACTGATTTCAGAGAGGAAAGGAAAGGGAGAGGTAGAAACATCAATGATGTAAGAGAATCACTGATTGGTGGCAGCCTGCACGCCCCACACTGGGGATTGAGCCCACAACTTGAGCATGACTGGGAATGGAACTGTGACCTCCTGGTTCATAGGTCAATGCTCAACCCCTGAACCATGCCAGAGAGGCTGTGTGTGTGTGTTTTTTAAAAGTCTTGTATAGGCTGGTCCAAGTGCAGTGGTGTCTTACAACTAAAAGTCTTGTATAAATTTCCCCCATCAACACTGAATTCAGAATATGAGCCACAGGAAAAGCTAAGAAATAATTTGGGAGCCATTTAACCAACTCAAGTCGGCCTACCCCAGGCACCTCTGAGCACCCACCCCTGATACTGTCCTCGGCACCCCTCCTGGAAGGACCTCTTTGCTCCCCTCAGTTTACGTGCTGTTTGCTTTAGCCGGCCAACCTGCTGCTTTCTGGGCAGGACAGCACATGAGGCCCAGTGCTTCTCCCAGTGGTGCTCCTCAGAACGGTAGAAATTCCACAGATTTATCTTGGGGGCAAAGGCAATGATATTCCTGATGATCCTTATTATTGTTGTTGTTAACCCTCACCCCAGAATATTTTAAAAATATATATATTTTATTGATTTTTTTACAGAGAGGAAGAGAGAGGGATAGAGAGTTAGAAACATCGATGAGAGAGAATCATCCATCAATTGCCTCTTGCACACCCTCTACTGGGGATGTGCCCACAACCAAGGTACATGCCCTTGACCAGAATCAAACCCGGGACCTTTCAGTCCGCAGGCCAATGCTCTATCCACTGAGCCAAACCGGTTTCAGCACCCCAGGATATTTTTCCATTGACTTTTAGGGAGTGTATTAGAGAGAAGGAAAGAGAGAAAGAAACATCGATGTGAGAGAAACACAACGCTTGGTTCCTCCTGCACGAGCCCTGACAGGGCCTGGGCTGGGGAGGAGCCTACAACCAACGTACTTGCCCTTGACCAGAATCGAACCCAGGCCCTTTGGTCTGCAGGCTGACATTCCATCCACTGAGCCAAACCAGCTAGGGCTATTCCTGACGAATCTTTCTTTTTCTTAGGTAAAACTCTTGGAAAATGGAACTTCAAGAGGTAAAGTGTGCCACTAAATTTTCTATTAACCTGAGAGCTTTAATTTCTAATCCTTCCCCCAGTTTGTAAAGGATAAGAAAGCTATGTAGCCAACACACAGCCAATTCTGCATGTTTCAATGTTTTCTTAGTCAGAGAAGACCCAGACCCTGTGACCGGGTATCCAAGTGAGAGAGTTTACCGCCAATAGAATGCCTGCAGGCTGGCCCACCGAGCCCTGACTCAGCACAGCAGTCCAGCTTATCTGTAAGCCCCTGCTGAGTCCCCTCTTCCAGGGGACACGGCGCCACGGGAGAGGAGGGGGTCGGGGTTCTGCGGCCGAGCACACGTTAGCCCATCTCACCTCATGCGCGTCTAATCCCCTCAGCTGTCAACGATGAGAATACGACAAGAGGTTTTAGTGCGACGGGCAACGGCCAGCAGAGCCACCCGCACAGCCACACTCCCCACTAGCGACTCAGAGTTAGTAGTTCCTTCTGGGACCCGGTGCAGCCACCTCACTGGCGGTTCCCTCACAGCCCCACATGCTCCACAGCGGGCCGGGCGCACTCCTCACCACATGCTGCGGGCAGACCGCCGTGTTTGTGACATAACAGGGATTAATAAAGAAGAGAGAGAGAGGCGTTCTTCCCGCCAGAGCAGCAATCATCAAACTGAATCCACGTCCCAGGCATCAGAGAGGAGAAAAAGAAAGAAAGGTGGGTAAGTTAGGCGCTACCCAATTAATGCGGTGAGAGGCTCCGGAGGGTCGGAGAGGTGGGTCGGGTGCTGGGACTAAGGCACACGCGCACACACGGGTGTCAGCGGGAGGCACCTGGCTCTGATCCAGACCATGCGCGGATGGGTTGTGGGGGCTGCTGGCCTCTCTACCCCACTGGATCAGTCTGGAGTTAGTCACACCTCCCAACGGGATTACCTGACCTTCTCTGAGGTCCAAAGAGTAGACAAAATGAAAGAGTCCAGCCACCTGATAAAGGGGAAAAGAAAAAATGCCATGGGCACCAAGCCTACACCACGGGATTGGAGGGAGCTATGGTACCCTCGCCCCCTCCACTGACACGTTTCTTCGTTCACTCATTTATTCATGAGTGAATAAATTAAGAACCCACTAATCTATTCATTCACTCACTCATTCACTAATTCACTCACTCACTCACTCATTCATTTATACACTAATCTATTCACTCTCACTCATTCATACACTAAATCACTCACTCACTCATTCATTCACTTATTAATTCATTCATTTATTCACTCACTCATTCACTCACTCATTTAATCACTCATTTATTTGCAGGAAACAGTGATGTTTACAAAGCTCTGTGTGAAGTTCTGCAGAGAAACAAAATGAATATGAAACATGGTATGGTCCCTACTCCCTAGGAGCTCTCAGACTAGCTGGGACATCAGGACATACATGCACCCAGGCCAGCAAATGACGAAGATGACAAAGTGCGTGACGGAAATCCAGGGGAGGGAGAGACACACTGTTGTTTGAAACGCCCCCGGGGGAGGCCTCCTACGTATGGGAGCTCCAGCTGAGCCAGGCAAGGACTACGTGCTCAGACAGAAAGGGGAGGAGACTGGCTGGTGAGAAGTGTAGGCCAAGAGGAGAGGAAAGCCGAGGTGCCCGGGGGACACTGGGACTGAACCAGCCTGAGAAGAGGGTCTGAGGCCCGTGATAGTGAGAGAGAGGCCTGGGACACGTGGGCGGGGCTGCCCACGTGTGAGCTCTGCTGAGAGCCACTGAAGGCTGAGCCGTGAGCGACGTGAAGGAAGCAGGACTTCGGAATAAGGAGAACACCCTGAGGCCCCGGGAGGCGCACCCCGAGAGCCGCGGATGCCTGCTCCCTCCTCCCCTCAGGCTGCAGCGGGCACGTGGATGTCGGAAGCAAGACCCTTTCCTCGCCTCCCTCTGGGACGTGCCCTGAGCGGAGACGGACCGCTGAGAGGCGGCTGGATTGGGACAGGCTGGACCCGGGGGGCTGAGGAGGCTGCTGAGCTCAGCAGCGGCCGGAGGGGAGCAGGGCTGTGCTGAATAATGATCCGCAGGGATGAGTCAGGTCCCTGGAAACCAGACCAGGGCCTGGCCAGCTGAGCTGGGCCGCACCCCGGTGCTGGGGTTTGGGGCTAGCCCTGCCCTCGCAGGTAGACGCCCCCGCTGAGTGAACTGTCTCAGCTGGGAGCTTCGCCTGCTCCCAGCTTCCTCCTTGGAGAGCGGGCCCTGGGGGAGGTTAACGTCCAACAGATCTCTTCACTGCAGGGAAAGGTGGCACAGGCACCTGCTGAAGGGACCGTGAGAGGGAAGGAGGGACCGAGAGAGCCCCCACCAGGGGAGCTTGCTCAGCTGTTAGTGGAAGTGGAGCTGTGGTTAGACTTACGCACGTGCCCACGTTACCCTAAGGCACATGTGTCAAACACAAGGCCCTCGGGCCAAATCCGTCCCGCCAGGCCTTGCAATGTGGCCCGCACCGCGCTGTCATCACTGCACTCCGCTGCGTTTCCATCACAATGACAGTTTATGACTGTTCAGTAAACCATTCGGCCCGCGATTTAGGCTGGATTTTAGATTTTGGCCCCTTGTCTGATTGAGTTCGACACCCCTACCCTAAGGGCTAAAGAACTGGATCTCACCGAAACCGGTTTGCTCAGTGGATAGAGCGTCCCAGGTTCGATTCCGGTCAAGGGCATGTACCTTGGTTGTGGGCATATCCCCAGTAGGGGGTACGCAGGAGGCAGCTGATCGATGTTTCTCTCTCATCAATGTTTCTAACTCTCTATCCTTCTCTGTAAAAAAATCAATAAAATATATTAAAAAAAGAAGAAAAAAAAGAAACTGGATCTTGTGGTAACAGGTGCGTACGGACCGGACCCCCTCCTGCACTGAAGTGTTACCCCAGCCCAGCCTCGAGGCCAAGAGGGAGCGCCTTGGCAGCACCTGCTAGCTGGCTTTGCATAACTCCCAGAGGGGTTTGATATGAAATGGTCAGAAGGCAGGCAGCCAACCTTAAAGTATCCAGGGCTGTGGCTGGCTCTGAGTTCTCAGGGGAAGACCCCAATTCCCAGGCCCTCAGCTCAGGCCCTCGGGCCTGGTGGTGTGATCTAAGTAGAAAATGGTCGGGAACCGTCAGTCCAGCGTGTGTGGAGGGGGTGGGGTCAGGGGTGCTTGGAGTGATGCAAGGAACGCCGGACTGGAAACCAATAGAAATCCCCGCTCTGGCCCAGCTCGGCGTATGACCTTAGGCAAGCACTCCACCTCCCCGCCTCGGTGTCTCCCCTGCGAAGCAAGGAGCTGCAGGAGATGGCATCCAAGATTCCTTCCTGCCCAGGCAACCCATGGCTTGATGGTGGTTCTCTCCAGGGCAGGAGGGGACAGGAGGGGGAGAGAGAGGGGCAGGTGCTCATGTGCTGTAAGCTGCCCCATGGGGACCCACTCACCTTGAGGCTGAGAGGAGAAAGAAGCAACTGCATGGGAAGTCGGGCCCAGAGCTAAGTGGGGCCAAGCCCAGGGCGGGAGACTGGCTTGCCCAGGGAGACACAGCCCCGGCCGGGCAGACCGGGACTGGAGAAGAGAGACTAGACCCAGAGTGGGAAACTCTTCTGAATTGCAAACACCTGCCCCATGGCAGCACCTGACTTATTTCTTTCATTCTGCCCAACAGCAAGAGAAGACCATGACCAACCTCAGAGAGCAAACCGACCTGAGCAGATGGAACAGGTAGCCTTACTGACCCCTCGCTATGAGCTCCACCTCCTGTGAAGTCTGTGCGCCGTCTCAGCTGTCCTGGGAGGCACCACTCTCATGCCCGTTCTGTGGGTGAAGAGGCTGGGGCTCGGTGGGGAGGTGAGTGGGGAGCTGGGGTATTTAACCCCAGTCTGCTTATCTCAAAGCTACTCAATGCTAAGAATTGCTTTATTGGCCAGCACATCCTTCATTCCTTTAACATTTACTGACACCTACTGGGGAGGATAAGGCACGAATATAAATGACTGCAAGAGTAAGAGAGGCCAGCCGGGACCGGTTTGGCTCAGTGGATAGAGCGTCGGCCTGCGGACTGAAAGGTCCCGGGGGCGATTCTGGGCAAGGGCATGTACCTTGGTTGCGGGCACATCCCCGGTGGAGGGTGTGCAAGAAGCAGCTGATCAATGATTCTCTCTCATCGATGTTTCTAACTCTCTATCCCTCTCTCTTCCTCTCTGTGAAAAATCAATAAAATATATATTTTAAAAAAAAGAGTAAGAGAGGCCAGTTCCAACTAGAATCAGGGGAGTTTTGTGAGGCAGCAGCATTTGACCTTGAAGGTGGACTGAATTTCAAACAGGCAGAAACGGGGGCAGATGAAGAACCAACATGAGCAGGAAAGAGAAGATTCTAGAACTAGTGCACAGGGCTGCTGTGAGCGCAGCACAAGAGGAACCAAAGGAAAGGCGGGACAAGACAGGAGGCTGGGAGCAGGCCCTGACTGCACAGGCTTCAAACGGGAAGGGAGAGGACCACGTGGGTGGCTACTGCAGTAGTCCAAGCTAGAAGGGAGGGTGAGGAGAAGAGGGAAGGAGGAAGCAGGTGCATCAGGTGACAGCTGATGGCAGGGAGGGAGGGGGGCGCCGGGGGAGAAATCCTACCCAACACCCAGGGAGAGAAGTGCCAGGAAGGACCAGGTGACAAGAAGCTGCCGAATCATCACAGCCAAGAAACAGCTCTCCCCCTCACATGTGATCCTAAAAGTGCTTTCTCTGACCCCGAGGCTCAACCAGGCTCTTCTCCGAGGCCAGGCAGGCGGGCTTCTCTCTTTCCTCTAGGATAGGGGTGTCGAACTCAATCAGAGAAGGGGCCAAAATCTAAAATCCAGCCTAAATCGCGGGCCGAATGGTTTACTGAACAGTCATAAACTGTCATTGTGATGGAAACGCAGCGGAGTGCAGTGATGACAGCGCGGTGCGGGCCACATTGCAAGGCCTGGCGGGACGGATTTGGCCCGCGGGCCTTGTGTTTGACACATGTGCTCTAGGACCCTGATGCGCAGGGCTGCATACCATCTCCACGGCTCCGCACGGAACAGAGGGGCGATGGCGCCAGACCAGCCCCTGTCTGATTCCAGCCCTCCCTCCTCGGCGGCCTGGGTGCGGGGCTGTGTGCGCGTTAGCCCACCTGCCACCTGCCACCTGCCCGGTGGAGTGAGGAGCGGTGGCGTTCCCGGGAGAAACATTTAGGGAAAGGGATCCAGCATGGTGGGCGGTGAATGACAAGGGGAGTGTGCTGGACCACACTGGTCTGAGGTCCGGCTGGTTCCGCTTCCGCGTCTTTAGGAAAGCTAAGCTGGGTGGGAGCTCCTTTGTGTGGGAGGCTAGAGGGTAGGGAGTGCTTCCAAAAATTTTCAGCAGGTTGTCCATGACAGTTTAGATAATCCTGGTGCTTAAAACCGGTTGCCGTGGTGAATTCCAAATATTAATTTTATGGCACACGGTCTTCAGCTACAACAGGAGGCAGCTAACGTGATGGGGATAGCCAGTGGCTGGACAGGGTCCTCGGGGGAGAAGGGACAAGCACGAGGCTTCCTGCAGTCCTGGTCACGTGAGGGCGTGAAGCCACAGCGGTGAGGCCCGGCGATCTGGAGGGGACAGCCGTCCTCTATTCGTCCTCGAAAATACCTTCTAAGCACGAGGGAGGTTTGGTAAAAAGAAAAGTGACACCTGCCCTCTGGTGACCTGCTCCCACAGGTGGTTTTCTGTAGGAAGAAAGCAAGGTGTGGCTCAGTGGATAGAGCATCGGCCTTCGGACTGAAGGTTCCCAGGTTCAATTCTGGTCAAGGGCATGTACCTTGGTTGCGGGCACATCCCCAGTAGGGGGTGTGCAGGAGGCAGCTGATCTATGTTTCTCTCTCATCGATGTTTCTAACTCTCTATCCCTCTCTCATCCCCTCTGTAAAAAAAAAAAAAAAAATCAAGGGCCAGAGCAAGTGAGTCCGC